ACCTCCCCTGTTAACCAGGACTGCTGAAAATACATTCTGTTCTGTTCCAGCAGAATGAAAGGAAATTGTAACCAATAAAACTGCAGCTAAGCATAAGTAATGCAATAAGTTCCATTAAAAACAAAGTACCTTCTAATGAAGCTGGCTGGTGTCCTTTCCAATTAGATTGTGGTTGAAGTTAGCAGAAATCTGTGTAAAAAAAATAAGATCTTTGTGATTAGACTGTGGGAATGGTACATGCACTTATTTTCAGGAGCTGAAATAATGTATTTCTTTTATTTGTGTATGTCCCTTACTTAACACAAATACAGAAACTTCAGGTTAATATTTTTTGTGCAGTAGCTATATCCACTATATCTTCCAACTCCCTTCTTCAGTGACAAATTACTGAAGGAATGAGACTACAATGTCTTGCAGTCTTTTTACAGGCAAGTCATACAAGCTTCGGGTTGCCAGAGAGGTAAAGGAACCCTTAGGATTGCCGTTTGTACTAGTATTGCAGTGGTGTAAATAAGCTTAATGATACTAGGTGTATTTTAAGGTACTTTTTATAGATGCTGACTAGCCTGGGTAAAAAACTAGAGCTGTATTCTTTCACATTTTTTAAGTCAGGTAACAAGCTGATTGTTCCCACAATCCAGATGTTTTTATTATTGTCCCACTTTGTAAGACAGAAAAGGATTAACGATTTCCTATTTCCTTCCTGTAAGCAGCCAGGGAAACTACTGCACAAATTTATGCCTAGATGTACAGAGTCACCCTAAATGTTCTATGAAAAATAAGAAGAGATTTTTCTAAGTTTTACAAACTTGCAGTTAGTTCAGTGACACCAATGAGCAAATGATAGATGCCTCTTCAAACATTGTGATTTTGTGCAAGGGATCTTACTGAGGCAGTAAGAATGAAATAAAGGACATGTAAAAGCTTTAAATGGAGTTCTTCATATGAGAAACTATCCTGGTACCGAAAAAAGCCCCCATGAAGTAGCACACAGCTTGTTGTCTATGTAGTTGTTTACAGATAAACTGGAGATGCACTAACCAACAGTGCAAAGGTATGTTAATTCCAAAGTTGGAATGATAGAAAATCAGCAGTATTCAAAAGAAAAAATTTAAATATCTGATGACTACCAGTTTCTTCAAGGAGAAACTCTTACCCAATCAAGGAGAAAAATCTTCCTAGGAAACCTAGAAAAATTTCAGTCCAATCTGTCAGGATCCCAACTGTGGCAAAGACCAAGCAGTTAGACGTGAAAGAATTAAGTGCTTCTGAACAAGAGTCTTCCTGTTGATTCATTTTGACATGCAAGTTCTAGGAATTCTAGGCTGTTAATCTTGGCAATTTAAAGCATAAATAGTGTGAACATCATGCCAATCACTGCTCTGCCTGAGAAACCAAACCTAATCTTAAATTGTCAACTGCTTGACAAGAGTCAGACCCACCAAACTAAAAATGAATAATACTTTGGACTTAGTGCATGTCAGTCTCGCCAGAATCATGTCTAGTTGAATCTGTTATTTTGCAGAAGAAATGTAATTTTTTTTGTTGAATGAATCTTTCAAAATACATGTTCAGTTAGTTCTCCTTAGAATTTAGAATTTCTATGTGATGCCATGAAAAAACACAGACTATTTTCATTTTCAGTCTGTAAGCTTCTTGCTGGCAAGTGAGTATGAACACAATGCTGACAGCTTATAGTTACCATTATAGTCTTTTGGTCTGCTGTTCAACAAATCCTGAAGAATAACTTTTTTCTTCCAGTGTTCTTGGCCAGTGCCTGTTCCTTCCCCTGACTTGTTAATACTTTCTGGTACCCAAATATAATTAATTCAGAAATTTTCAGTTATTCATCTGATCAAGTTATGAAAGAGGAAGTAGCAGTCTCTTCGAGGCATTGACTGTACAGCGCTAACAGCATGGACCATGCCTATGAGACGCTATGTCTACATTTGCAAGTAGTGCAGCGCCTGGGGATGGATCTGGAGAGCAAAATGTCATGGTGCGTTAGGAACTGAGAGTAACATGTCCCCACGGCATGTCTTTTGAAAGTGAAGCATGTGGAAGATGACTTATAAAGAAGGAGTTGCTGTTCCTTCTATAAGGTCTTTGGTAGCAGTGGAAAGTAAGCGCTGTTCATTTCTGTTTGTTGGAACACATGAAATGGCCAGATACTGCTTTTGTTACATGGCTTTATCTTTCTTTAGGGGAAATTTCTAGTTCTGCATCTTACTGTAGTGTAGTAGTAATCAAACCTTTGCTTATGCATTCCCTGTTTCTTTGTACTTGTAATTTATAAATTTAAAATGTCCAGAAAAATGAAAAAACTGCTAACCGAATGAGCAGAACACAACCTATAGCCATCTGATTTTTTTTTAATCCAGAAGCAAGGCATGGAAATATAAATTCTTTAAAAGTATGTGTCTGTGTGTGGGAGCTAGTGTTTTTTGAACAAGCATACACATTCTATAAAATCTACAATAAAGCTACTAATAAGTATTTCTGTGGCTTTGGAATAACTTTATATGGCTCAAGCCTAAGGGAAGAGGTCTGTTGTGGAGCTTTGTGCAATGATGTTGGATCAGCTCTGAATTCTATAAGACAAAATAGAATGCACAAATTATTAATGCAAAAATAAATTGATAAAGAAAATTGAGGTATAAACTACCGTAATGCCACTAACATCATATAAGGAGGGGAAATACTTTTTGTGACAGACTATTACTTTAATTTTGGAAATGTCCTCCAAGGACGTTTTTAGTTATTTTCTTGAGTACAAAATACACCTTTTTGTTTTGTAAAGGATATGTTATGACAAAAGTTCATCATATTCTTTCTTTTGAAATGTATTACATCCCAGACCAAGAAACCCATAATTTTAGAAGTTTGGATAAAGTATCTCGACGAGCCATGCTTGCTGTTGTTGATTACTTAAGAAGACAAAAGAGGTGAATTATCGCTTTCCAATTTTGCTTTAATTTCATTATGACTGTTACAAGATCTGTTGACACTCTAGATTAAGGCAGAAGAATGTGGTAGACAACATGTCAGTTAAAAGAAGATGTAGTACTGATTCTGCATTTATGACCAAAGTGGTATGACTAGCCTTAAAGGGTTCTAACTATGCTGAAGGAGTTTTCTAAATACTTTTTGTCTCATAAACTTTTTGTGATATGGGGTTGGGGGGGGCTAAGATAAAATTAGCCTATGGTAGGCTTCATAGTTAGATTGGATTTCTTTTGTTTAATGTTAGAAGGAAGGGTCTATTACAGCAATAGTAAAGTCTTTATTTAATCAGATCTGTTTCAGGTACAGTTTTTGATGACAGCTTCTGGCTAGATCTGAATTATCTTGAGGTTGCCATAGCAGCACAGTCTTGTGCTGCTCACTTTACAGCCTTGCTCTACGCAGAAATCTACGCAGACAAGATAAATATAGACAAACAGCAAGAAAGGTACAAGGTTTGAGGAATGCAGTGTCTTGACATTTCTGGTAAAATGCATCATGTTTTGTGTGTTCCAGTAGTGTTTTGTTACATGAAAAGTCAAGGAAACTTTAAAAAAATTCCTTAGGTGCATGTATGGACCTGGAAAATATTTCTATCAGTCCTTGAATGTGATCTCAACCTTGCTAGTTTGTTAGCTGTGACAAATTCAAAATAGTGTAATTTTGCTTCTAACCATAAAGTTTTCTTAGTAGTGTGTGTATTCTGGAGAATACTTGTGAATACTAAAATGTATTGAATCTCACCTTCTAAATTGAACGCTTTCCAGATTCTGTTTCTCATAGTTAATAGTTTGCTAGTGGTTAAGTTACTGCCAGAAGTGAATCAAGTAGAGAAAGAAACCACAGAATGATGACCAGAATTGCGTGGGTATAGCTGAATGATCCTTGTAGAAGGAGTTTTATTCCATAATGGACAAAATATGGAACTATTTTACTAGCTTCATTTTGGCGACAAATAACTCTAAGGCAGTGAATGTATAACAAAAGTATGGTTGTAAGCATATATATTATGTAGTTGCTTTCACTTTTTCCCAGAACAGAAAAACAACTCCATCCCAGCTGAAACCAGGACAGAGAATTCTTGCTTAGGCATTCACAAAAGGAATCTGATTTAATAAAATATTAGACATTACAGGTGGGGTTTTTTCCCTCTGAAAAAAACACCTTGGTATTGAAATCCCTTGATGTTGATATTCTCAGTTCAGCTGGTCACTTTGCCATTCTAGTGGAGAGCCATTTTGAATAACCTGGGATTATGACAGGCCTGATTTTGCATTTAGTTTTCGTGCCCCTTGCTTCTTAAGTGTTGTTTCAGAATTTCTTTAGTTCTTTGTGTGAAATTTCATTTAATTTTACCAGTTGAAACATTTCCTTTAGGTCATCTTTTAAAGCAGCTAAGAGTTTGACATTTGAAGAAGAAAGTCAAAGAACAACTATTACTATTTTGAATGAAAAAAGTAAAGAAGAAACTGGCATAAGTTTACAGGTACATGTTTGTTCTTCATAATCTGAAAGGAAACCTTCTCATATAATTAACAGTAGGTTTCATCTGAGCTGAAGGGCAGATCTAGTTGAACTTCAAAAACTGTATTTGAAAGTTCTCCCCATGCTCTAATTCAAAGTGAACTCAGTGGCCTTGCCGGACAAGTTAAATTGATTATTTGTTTACCTGAAACACTAATTAATTGGCAAATTTTAAATTGCAGCAAAGCAGACTTCGTTCCCTGAAACACCTGACCTCATGGTGGTAACCAGCCAAGTATTTTTCAGTTTGTTTTGTCAGAGAGATGTGTTCATTAAAAATCAGCAAGTGTTGTAGAAGTTGTAATAATCAAAACCAAAGTAGTAGTATCTCCCACAGGTTTATCTGATACATAAAATCTGATTCAGTGTAAGTTCCTCCTTTCGTAGTTCATTACTCCAGAGCTGTGCTTGCATATCTTTAAAATGTATTGCTTAGCTGGTATGTCTGATGCTCATTCAGTACTACTGCCTTTTGCTTTTCAACCAGTGCACCTAAGGCCCAGCACTGTTTTTTTTAATAACTTAGCAGAGAAGTTGGGTAGTCCTGAAGAGTTTTGCTAGACTACAAAACTTCCCTTCCTGTGATGATAGCAGGAATACTATAGATACTGCATAAAGGAGAATTAAGCAATGATAACAGTATGTTACATGGAAGGACTTGTATTTATAAACTTATATGATATGTATAAAACTCACTTGAACTGGTTCCAAAAGAAGTAATTCTTTGTTTTATGGCGCATGTTCTAGGACCTTCTCATGGACATATACAGAAGCATTGGAGAACCTGACAGTCTCTATGGCTGTGGTGGAGGAAGAATGTTACAGCCACTAGCACGGTATAATTTATTAATGTTCATATGTTCTTTAAAGTCATTGCTTTCATTTATTAGTAAGGAAATTAAATTGAAAACTTGTTGTTGACTTACAACAGGATAAGAACATACGAGCATGAAGCAGTATGGGAGAAAGCCCTTGTAACGTATGACCTTGAGGCAAGCCTCTCTCCATCTACTCGCCAGGCAGGAATAATAGAGGTAATTTTATTTTATAATAGGAAATGAATGTAGGAATTGATATCCATCATACTGAGAGTCATTTGTAGTAAATGCAAAATTGTTTTAGAACTAAAAGAGATCTCTTTGGTCGTCAAGTCCAATCCATAGTCATAGGCATCCAAACTGTATAGTGTAAGACAACTCAGTGTTTGTCCTGAAAACATTAAGGCTTCTAGTCTCCCTGTCACTCACCCATAATCCTTATCTTGGGTAATGAATTTTGTGAAATATTTCAAAATAAATATATTTGATACAGAATTTGGCCAGGTCCTAAAGTGACAGCATATAAAAAGTAATGTAATTGGTTATTTTTGCCATCTCATTCTTTAAACCTCTCCATTATGGCAACTATCTTACTGAAACTGTGTTATTTCTGATACAATAAATAAATAGAATTGATGTTGTCTTATTTTGATCCTTTAAAAATATGTTGCTTTTTTACTAAAAATGTTTACAGCAGTTCTGTAGCACAGGTATATCTCTATTTCCCCTAATTTCATTTTGCTATGGTACTTGTCCTACCCCAAATTACTTACTATCTTTGTTAAAATTCCATTGTGTTTCTACTTCATAATGGCTGCACACATAACCTGGATAAGTGGTCACAATTATAAAGTCATTATGGTCTTCAAACAGTTAGGGATTTAAGAGTTGTAGGAAACTTTTTCAAATCCCCATCAGGAAAAACAGTTCATTAAGAAGTAAAACCAGTTTTGGCTTACTACCCAGGAATTCTGGAATGTAGAAATGTGAGCAGGTAGTTCATTTGAAACACAACATGGAAATTTATTTCAAAGAATGACAGCTACAGTTTTTCTGGGGTTGCAGGTATCAGTAGGGTGATTAGTAGTCTTATTAAGAAGTTTTCATGTTACATAGTGCTGAGTTTAGAAATACTTATGGTTCTGCCTTACCTGCAAAGGCTTCTTTGTTTCCAAAGTTAAACCGAAACCTTTTAAAAAAACAATTCAGTTTATTAAAGGAGGAAAACTGACTTTCGGTAATTTTTTGAATTCCAGGCTTTGCAGAATTTTGGGCTTTGCCACACACTTTCCATGTATTTAAAAGGACTGGAACATGAAAACACTGAGTGGTGTGCGGAACTACAGGAAATACGCTACCAGGCGGCATGGAGGAGTATGCAATGGGGCCACATCTCTTCTATCAAGTAAACCATCTTACTTTTTCACTAGTTCTTTAAATGAAAGGCAATGGTTTCAGTTCCAAGCAAAAAGACAACACCAGAATATAATTTCTGTGAAGCAGGTCACCTAATTTGTCTTAATCATTGAATTGAAAAGCAGTCTTTTTCACTTAGACCTGTCTGTTTTGTATGCACATCACTTTTCGTTTTCCTGGGAAACGGTATGCAGTTGATTCTTCTTTTTGACTGTTCATAACTATAAACAGAAATTTTCAATTTTTGACTCAGACTGTAGATGTATCTTAAGTACGTATGAGGGATAGATGTTTTTTAATGTTTTATTTATAAGCAAATGGGGAAAATAGTAGTCAGTAAGCCACAAGAGGTTATCAAGACCTGGATAAGCAAGCACCAGTGTTGATTCATGGCTACTTCCTCATAAGTGGTAATCTCCTCCCTTGTGTAATGTTGGATACCTGGCATTAGTTATTTCATATGACTGGCCAGTATATGTATATATATACTGGCCCTTCCTAGTACAACTACCATCGCACATTTTAGGAGGAATACAGAATAGAATCACTATATTTTGGCAAAAGCAAAAGTTACATGATGGGGTCTTCAGTAACTCCTTCTACATTAACTTTTAGTACTCAGGAGAATGGAGGATTTTTCTCCTAAGACCCTTAGAGAGAGATGAGTCTGGGGTACATACTGTTGGTCTGTGCGTTCTCTTCTCCTGCACTGTCTTACGATCATTGTTCAGAAGCATCTGGAGGTCTTCACAGACACACACTGTTGAAGGACATATGTCATGCCACAATCAGAACAAAATTCATGTAGGTGGGCTCTCTTTGTCCCTGCATTAGGGTCTGTGTAAACTTCTTCGGTTATAACCCTCTTAGGCAAATAGAATATTCAGCTTTAATACAGGAGCAGAAAAACAACATGTAAGATGAAAAGAGAGAGAATGAGATGGCAGAAAAGAGGAGGGTCGAGCAGAAGAAAGAAGAGTGAAAAGGGCAAAGAGAAAATTAAATTGAACTCTATGTTTTTTTTCAGCCTTCCAGGTTTTTAAAATTTTTTCCTTTGTCAAAGTATTTCTGAAGTTAAATGTAAATAATTGTTCATTCTGAACTGAAGTTGCATGCATACTGTAATATATATCTTTCAGCAAAATACTGTGAGAAATGTGTTATGGTTAAGTTTTTATTGTTCAGTTGGTTTTGTGTCATATTTTTGATACAACCTTGGAGATGTTCTCCATATTGCAAACATTTTGACAATTACTATTTTTTCTTTGTTTGCCTGAATTTATAAAAAACTAAATTAATGTAAAATTTAAAGAGTTTCAGTATTATTTTTTATCATGCAAAACAGCAGTCCATCCAGCTGCAGAAAATGTACTACAAAAAATATTTGTCATAAAGATAAAATTGACTTCTTTGTAGAGGAATATAATTTTCCTTTTATATTACTTTTGTTTTCTTTTTAAGAGATGAGACAGGAAGACTAGGGTACCATGAATCATTGTATGATGCTCTTCAGTCTTTACGAGATAAGGAATTCTCTGCTTTCTATGACAGTCTTAAAGATGCCAGGTAACTGTATGCAAATATTCTGCTGTTAGAGAGAGAGAGAGACAGAGAGAGTGTGTGTGTTTGTAGTCACATGTTATTATAAAAGACTATTATGGGGTTTTATGGGCTTAAATGAAGACTGGTGCATAAAATAAAATTAATACTTCTGGACTGCAGCTTCATTTCTAAGTTTTTTAACTTAAATTTGTCTTTTGTGCATATACCATTTGTGTGCTAATTACAGATGAATTTACTGTAGTATACATCCCTTCCTTTACAGTCTTCTGAAATGGATTTGAGTGCTGACTACTTTTCTTTAGCTGAGCTATCACATAGGCTTTGGTGTTCATATATGCTTACCGTGTTTTCATTTATTGACAAACTTAATTTTTTGAACTTTAATGGTAATACATAATCATTCTGAACAAAATAGTTTTGCTGTTTAAATTCTGTTCACTGTATGGAAATTATGTTACAGATATTTGTAATTACTTGTTGATATTAAAAAATAATAATTTACTATTTCTCTGTTAAATCCATAGAGTGAATGAAGTAGAAGAGCTTTGCAAAGGCAGTCTTGAGTCTGTTTATTCTTTATATCCAACTCTTTGCAGACTACAGCTAATTGGAGAGTTGGAAAATATAGGTCTGCTGTTTTCCAGGTATTTTTTTAAAGCTTGTTTCATATTCCTCTTTCAGTTTTCAGGAATTTTGATAATCAAGTCTAATGAATAAAATTTGTTGAGGTCTTTTTATGAAATCCCAAACTTAATCTTAAAAATTATATGGATTTTAGCTTTAGTATGTGAAGACAAATCTGGCTTCTCTCTATTTCCAGACTGGATTTATTCATGGTCTAGTTTTAATTATTTGATATTATGCCAATAGTGTATTTTATATAATTGTTTTCTTTGTTTTGAGTTCCCTGGTATACCCCAAGGTAGCAGTCATATCTCCTAGCGTTTGGTTTACTAAGGTAACTGAGTTATCCTCTTCTAAAGATGTTTTCCCTTGCCTTGATGATACCCGTAGATCTGTTGAAAGTTGTCTCAGTTTGAATCACTTTCTTCATGGACTACGATTGCCATCAGTATTCTACCTGAATTCTTAACATTGCTTTTTTAATGATAGGAAGATATTTATCCCTATAGTGCTATTAAGATTGGATTTTTTTCTCCTATAGTTGCATTAGTTTGGTAGCTTATAGTCATCCTACAGTTATTTAGTGCATTCAGGACCTTATGAGCCATTGCTATTTGCAGTTAATCACCTAAAAAAATAATACCTATAATGACAACCTACACAGCTACAATCTCAGAGTTTGGAATTTATTCTTATATTAATCCTTATACAACCTGTATAATAAAATAGGAATCTTGGTCTCTAATCTTTTAAGTAGCCCTGTGTTTGACTGTGATTCCCTTTGCTGGTGGACCTTTAACACAACAGGTTTTGATGCATAATCAAGAATGTTTATAGTGGAGTTGTTCACCTTACTAATGTTGATCCCCTTATCTTGACGTTTGTTAAAAGTGGAAGCCTGCCAATTTATTCTGCATATTAATCATTGTAGGGTTTTATGGTCAGCATCTTGGTTTTGAACTGAAGGTTGTGAATTACCTTGGTAGTTTAGTTTTATTACTTATCTGGCATTTCACTAATATTTAGCAAGAATTAATAACAGGTCTTTTTTCTTTTTGTAACAATTGCAGATCTGTTACTACTCAACAACTGAATGATATTTATTTGAAATGGCAGAGACAGTCACAGCTTCTCAAGGACAGTGACTTCCGTTTCCAGGAACCTATCATGGCTCTGCGCACTGTAATTTTGGAGATCTTGCTTGAAAAGGAGAATGAAAATACAAAAAGAGAATGTATTAAAGACATCCTGACAAAACATCTGGTGGAGCTCTCTAGATTGGCAAGAACTGCTAAAAATACACAGGTAACAAATTCCAGGAAAGATCAGTGACAGATGTGTAATTTTTTAGTTTATAAAAGAACTTCATTTTTTAACAGTACTAAAGATTAACTGTATTCTAAGTTTATTCAATGAATCAATTAGTTGGAGACAAACTATGTAGAACTTATTCATAAATTGTATTTATAGGCATGTTTTATGAATTTTATTCATAACTGTAAGCTACACTATGAGGTAGATAATATAAAAATGAAATTTTTTCTGAAGAATGCTCTTTCAGCTCTGTTACTTTATCTTAGTGCAGTTTTATGATATATAAACTTTCACTTGCATCATACTGTTGTAGTGTTCCAGAGTAAAGCTGCAGAAAGAACTCCATTGCATCTGTATGTTTAGTGTTGTTTTTAAGGTTTTATACCCTGAAACCATTGCACTGTGGGAAATACCGCCCTGTGAATGACTTAGTAGGATTTGCAGTATCAGTGGTTTCTACAGCTGCTAATGCATTTAAGGTCTAGAGTCAGCCTTGGCTTGTTCTAGGTAGTGCATCTGGAGGAGTAACTCAATAAGAATTTATAGAGCAACAATATCATCCAAGAACCTCTGCAGAGTATAGTTCCAGTTAGATATATAACCTGGAAAGATGTTTAACACTTCACATATGTGAAACTGTATTAAACTTTGATTTCAGGAAGCTTCTAACTCTTTTTGTGAATAATGATTATATAAGTAGAACAGCTGTCTTTGCTTTCATAGATTTGCAAGGTTTACTCAGTGCCTCCAGAATTGTTTGGGAAAATTACTTCTTCAGAATTTTTTTTATCTCATGCCTGCCTAGTCACTAACACTGTGGTGATGAGTGTCCCGTGAGAGCCTCAACAGAAGTGAATTTTTTTTCACTTTGATTTTTAGTTACAGAATAAGATTAAAATTGGGGTGCCCTATTTTGGAGAATTTGGAGGAGAAGGTTCTGAAAGATGGAATCAGTGTGTTTCTGAAAACACTGTTCTTCCAGCCTCTTCAGTGTTGTAGGTCATGCAATACTTCAGAGCATACTTCTGCCCGTTCTCAGTCTTTCAAACCATGGGTTGATAACCCTTTCTTTTAGGCACACTTGTAGCGACAACACTAAGAGTCCAGATGTAGGAAAGTTTTTGAGGAAGCACTCTTTGCAACTAATGGCTTTTCTTCCTCTTTGGTGCCACTACCATCCATCAGGAGAAGGAAGAGAGTGCCATACAGCATCATCACACTGACCCCTAATTGGAGTACCCAAACTTACATTGTCATTTACAGGCATTCTTATATTTTAATTGTTTACCTTACTTATTTAAAAGTTTGGTTGATTTGGTTATTGGTTGGACAACTCGTGAAAATACACTTTAGTCTTGATCTTTTGACATTGTTAAAAAGATAGTTTGCTCTTTGTACTAGCATAGTGATACTAGATTACTAAATAACGAGGATTTTATTTCACCAGTGATATGAGTGAAGAGATAGGCACACAAAAGAATTAGTTCATGGTGGTGCCATTTTTCTTACTATTTTTTGTGTGATCTCTTAGGACGTAATAATAATCACTAAGCTAAAATTATAAATCTGTTATTTCAGTAGGTAGTGACTGTAGAATTTCTATACTTTATATCTCCAAGTAATTTAAAATGTTAAACACTGATACTTTATTTTGGGGGTTGTAAGCCTATTATGAAGTTTCCATAGTCTATTTTTGTTGCAGATCAGGATTTTCTGCAAGTATATAGAAAAATAACTTCATCTCTCTGCTGCAAAGTTTAAAAACAAAACTTGCTGTGAGATACATGTATTGGGCTTAAAGAATTGTTTATAAACTTTTTTCAATTTCAGCTTCCAGAAAGAGCTATGTTTCAAATCAAACAGTACAATCCAATGGGATATGAAGTTTCTGAATGGCAACTAGAAGAAGCTCAAGTTTTCTGGGCTAAAAAGGAAGAGAGTCTTGCACTGAATATTCTTAAAAGGATGATAAAAAAATTAGATGCAGATTGGTTTCAGGTATGTGTTATCTAATGTATAAACTTATAGGAATTAAATTATCTAAGATACTATTTCCACTTTCTGAAGTTTTCCTTTGGAAGAAAATTAAAAGACTGTCTGCAGTATTACTAAACCTGTTTTGTACTCTCAAAATGTCTGAAAGCAAAAAAATCTGTATTAGCAAATCTTATCAGGGTTTTTCAAAGTGAATCTGTAAGAGTGGCAAACATTAGAATTTATTATTCATTATTTTGCCTCTAGTGCCACCACTGTGATATATATAGCTTTTTAAAATCAGAGATGATTTCCCTTGATAAAAAATGAACTTGTTTTAAGCAAAACTGTTACATAGAAGTGTATCATCTTGTTCTGTGACGATGGTTAAAGAAACTAATGACCAAGCAGGATTGTTTAGGCCTAGACTCATAGAATCATTGCTTTGGAAAAGGCCTTTAAGATCATCAAGTCCAACCATTAACCTAGCACTGCCAAGTCCACCACTAAACCATGTCCCTAAGTGCCACGTCTACATGTCTTTTAAATACCTCCAGGGATGGAGGTGTTTAAACCACTCCTCAACCACTTCCCTGGGCAGCTTGTTCCAATGCCTGACAACCCTTTTGGTGAAGAAATTTTTCCTAATATCCAATCTAAACCTCCCCTGGCACAACTTGAGGCCATTTCCTCTTGTCCTATCGCTTGTCACTTGAGAGAAGACATCAACACAGCCTCACTACAGCCTTCTTTCAGGTTGCTGTAGAGAGCGATAAGGTCTCCCCTCAGCCTCTGTTTCTCCAGACTAAACAACCCCAGCTCCCTCAGTGACTTCTCATAAGACTTGTTCTCTAGACCCTTCACCAGCTTCGTTGCCCTTCTCTGGACACACTCTAGCAACTCAGTGTCCTCGTAGTGAGGGGCCCAAAACTCAACACAGTATTTGAGGTGCAGCCTTGCCAGTACAGGGGGACAATCACTTCCCTAGTCCTGCTGGCCACACTATTTCTGATACATGTTATGCTGGGAACTGTGAAAGCGTAGATGTTTTTGTTAGAACAATAATAATAACAAAGATTTTATCTATGGTCCTTATTGTTTAAAATAGCCTAGTAGAGGAAGACACTAATAATCTATTTTATGCTAAAGAAGCATACCTCTGTTGCAGGCATTTCCCTGATGTCTGTAGGGAATCCTTGTGTAAAGCTGGGAGCATGAGTTGAGGCTTATATTTCAGTGGGGCTAAAGCTGTATCACAAAGCATACAGAAATTCCAAGCAAGTTTTTGACTGATAAACATTCACTACTGTGCCTCAGACTTCTTTGTCCTAATTCATTGTCAAGGAACACAGATATGATTTAGGGTGCTCTTTCATATCTTTGAATCCTTCCCTACCTACAGGCACACTGAGATACAAGTTTTATGTTGTACTTCTGAAAATGGATTTTTACCTCAAAGAGGGGAATATTTTCTCATCAAATTTGACTTTTAGCAAGTGCCTCTGAATCTTAGTTATCTTAAAGCTTTTTGTAAGCTTTCTGAAAAATTATGTCACTTGATGTGAAGCAAGTACTATATTCCCACCTCCAATTCAGAATACAAGAACTGAAACAGAAATCCCTCTCTCCTATCTCAGTAATGGGCAATACGAAGTTCCTAAGAAAAAGTGTAAAGAATAGTTGGCCGGTACAACCAGAGTACTCCCCCGGACTGATTTGTAGCACAAGAACTTCCTGAACCAGAGGTAGTTTCTCTGTAGGTAATTCCTTCCAAATTTTTTTATATCATAAATTTCTCCAGTCACTTTTTAAGTCTGTGGAAGCTTTTAATATCCAAGAAGACCCTGCAACAAGGAGTTTCACAGCTTAATTCCCACTGTTTTAAGAGCCACTTCCTTTTGTTCGTTTTGAACCCCCTGTCTTCATTTGAGGTTAATTCCAATCTTGGAAAAAAACACTTAACATGTGTTCCCTGTCTCCGTTTTCCATAGTGAGGTAACATTTTATAGTTACCTCACTATAATATAGCTACTATATTTCCAAACAGGACTAACGGTTTCACAGTCCATCATTGTATACAGGAAGTCTTTTTCCCCTCTCATGCATTGCTTAACATTTATTTTTTTGCTTGTAATTTCATCAGGGTTTTTTTCATTCCATTTATTGTCCTGTATTTGTCTGTAGTTCCTCAGTCTGTCCTTGTTTTTATCACCTTGCATGACTCAATATAATCACCAGATTTTGTGTTCACTGCTTATCACCTTCTCAAGATTAGTACCTTTTGAGCAGCACAGATGACTGGATCTTTGGAGGCTTTTCACTGGTGACCTAACTCCACTGTAAAAAAGTGGCCCATTTATTTATCTTTCTGTTGCCTTAGTTCTTTATCCCTCCAAGAGTCATGCATTTCATTTCTTGCAACTTAGTTTCTTCAAGAGCCTTTTGGTGAAGAGCCATGTCACATGACTGTTGCAGTCATAAAATCATTAAGGTTGGAAAAGACCTTTAAGATCATCAAGTCCAACCGTCAGCCCAACACCACCAAGCCCACTAAACCATGTCCTGAAGTGCCACATCTGCATGTTTTTTGAACACTTCCAGTGATGGTGACTCCACCACCTCCCGGGGCAGCCTGTTCCAATGCCTGACCACTCTCTCCGTAAAGAAATTTTTCCTAGTATCTAGTCTAAACCTCCCCTGGTGCAACTTGAGGCCATTTCCTCTCATCCTGTCACTAGTTACTTGGGAGAAGAGACCAACACCTACCTCACTACAACCTCCTTTCAGGTAGTTGTAGAGAGTGATAAGGTTTCCCTTCAGCCTCCTCTTCTCCAGACTGAACAACCCCAGTTCCCTCAGCCGCTCCTCATATGACTTGTTCTCCAGGCCCCTCACCAGCTTCGTTGCCCTTCTCTGGACATGCTCCAGCACCTCTATGTCCTTCTTGTACTGAGGGGCCCAAAACACAGTATTTATAGACACAGTATTCGAGATGCGACCTCAACAGGGGCATAATCATTTCCTTACTCCTGGCCATGCTATTTCTGATACAGGCCAGGATGCTGTTGGCCTTCTTGGCCACCTGGGCACACTGCCGGCTCATGTTCAGCCAGCTGTCAACCAGCACCCCCAGGTCCTTTTCCACCAGGCAGCTCTCCAGCCACTCCTCCCCAGGCCTGGGGCGTTGCATGGGGTTGTTGTGACCCAAGTGCAGGACCCAGCACTTGGCCTTATTAAACCTCATACAGTTGACCTCTGCCCACCAATCCAGCTTGTCCAGATCCCTCTGCAGAGCATTCCTGGCCTCAAGCAGATGAATCTGTTGGAGTAGGCTGAATCAGACAAAATTCCTTTGCTTGTTGAGTTCTTCAAGAAGTTCAGTTGAGCTGGGAAACGGGATACATCTGAGGATGGTAAGGGAGTTGGCTGACATCATGTCAAAACCAGTTTTGTATCATCTCTGAAAGGTTGTGGAGATCAGGGAAGTGCTGATGAGTGGAAGAGAACAATCACACCCATCTACAAAAAGGGCAAAAAGCAAGGTCAGAAACTACAGAGCAGTCAGACTCATCCCTAGGAAAATTACAGAATGAGTCTTTAGGGAAGCTATTGCCATGCACTTGAAAGAAAATATCGTTGGGAAAAGCCAACAGAAATATACTATCATGCTTGACCAACCTGATTGTCCTCTGTGATGAAACAGTTTTCCCAGTAGACCTGGGACAAGCTGTGGATGTCATCTACCTTGATTTTAGCAAGGCATTTGACAGTCTCCTGCAATATCCTTCCTCACAAGCTGGTAAGATACAGACTGGATAGATTAGACCACAAGATAGGTGGAAAACTGGCTAAGTGGCTGAGCTCACAGGGTGGTTGTTGATGAGTCAAAGGCAGCCTGGTTGCGAGTCAGAACTAGGGTTCCTTAGGGTTGTTGTGGGGTCTGATACTAGTTTCATGACTGAGATCTGTAGGGCAGGACTGAATTTCCTTGGCAAATTTGCAGATAACAACAAACTGGAAGGAGATGTTCTATCATGTCCTTTTACAAAAGCTATTCTGGCTTTTCTTCATATTAATTCATCTGTTCTCTTTGTGGGGTTTTTTTGCTAGTTTGTCCACTTCTGATAAGAGTGTTACTGACCTGTGCTTCCCTGAAACTTGTTAGAATAGTGGTGCCACATTTGCCACCTGCCACTTCTCTTATATTAAGGCAGTTTTAAGCAAAAGCTGTTATACCTCTTTTGGTAGTTCACTTAGTTCATCTGTGAAATGCTGTAGACCTTTTGGAAAAGTACGTGCTGATCCTGGTGAGTTGATAGTTTTCATTTTGTCTGTTTGTTCAGTAGCCTTTGCTGTTGTCACTTCAATAGCAGACAGACCTTTGAATCCCTCATAAAGAAAGGCTTTGCAGTGGGACTCTTCAAACTCCTCCGCAGTGAACACAAATGCAAATAATTTAAATTTTTTCTGCTTTATCTTCTCAGAGCGCTATTTGTTTTATCACTATTATCTTTTTATCAAGTGGACTGTCTGGTGGCTAGCTGCTTCTGATATGTTTAAAAAATGCTCTTATATTATTTATTGAGTCTCCTTCAAGTTGTTTGGGTTTTTTGGACAGCCTGATGGTGGGCTTTTGGCTTTTTATTTGACAGGATATTTTATGATTCTTTTTAATATATTTTCTTTTTCACTTGGACAAAACTTCATTTTGTGTACTGATGTGGTAAAAATTTCTTCATCATCCATACCTTTGTGTTTAGCTGTGATTGCTTTCTTTGGGTATTTTTTGGAGGGTGATAAACATTCGCTTTGAATCCATATACATTACTAAGGAATATCACACTTCAGAGGAAAGCTGGAGAATTTTGGGCCAAGTTCTCCATACATATCAGGCCAAAATCAAGAGTTGCTGCTCCTGTTTTGATTTTTATGCTTGGTCCATGAATCAGTTGATGAGGGCTTCCAAAAATTTAATTCTTCTCTCACCTTCCAATGTTAATGTTTACCCTGTCCACATAAGGTTTTGTGTTTTCGCAGCCTATGATATGCTTCAATATTTCACAGTCAGCATTGTCATCTTGATCAGGTGGTATACGTACTCTATACTAAAAGTATGTTGGAAACTTGTCCTACTATACAGTTAAAGCTGAGCTTCCAATCTGGAGGCAAGTCCTTTGGAAACCTGCTCCATCATCTTCTCAGAGTGCTTTTAACCAAGTTTCCGTGTAGAGGTCAGTCTGAAAAATCTAATGATCGCACATAGTTATCACAATTCCTGAATGTTTCCTACAGAATGTACTATGGTACTTAAGACTAAATGGGGATATTAGAAAATACAATACTGGAAACATGCTGTGAATTTATTTAATTTTTATTACATTTTGTCATTGTTTCATTCTCGTTTTCATTGTTCAAACTGTCAGGTATTTAAAAATATGTGCTGTCCTTCAGTAAAACATAAAATGTGACTGTGATTTAAGGTGTTCATGGTAAATGACTCTGTAGATACATTACGTATGTATCTACATACAGGCCTGAGTGATTGAGTTATAGTCAGGGTTTAAAAGCTTTATAAATTGCCTCCCTCATATGTAAAAAGTATTTTTATTTGATGGCTCTCTCTTTTTTCTTTTTTTCCCCAAAACTTGCTTTCTCAAAGGTTGAGAATGATCCTCATCTGAAATTGATATATACAGAATGTCTGAGGCTATGCGGAACCTGGTTAGCAGAAACATGCTTGGAAAACCCTACAGTCATCATGCAGAAATACTTGGAAAAGGTGCATACAGTCTTTGAAACATTTGAGATAATGCTGTGCTAAAATATGTTGTTAAAATGTCAAGTAAATTTTACCATGCAGCCTTTATTTTTCTGGATTGAAAATATGGATTTTTATAAAAATACTATACTTTCACATAGTATTGTGTAACACTGAAGTCTTATAAAATATTCAGAATATGGCTTTACAGAATTCATAGTGAAATTTCTGTGTAGTATTGGGTTAAAGGTTCAGTGATAATGACTGCTAGTTCTCTTCCCCTCTCCTGTTCTGCCCCATCCGTTCCTTCTCGGGACATAACATTCACTTAACATATCTTCAGTATGGGGATTGTATTCACAACAATCTCTTTCCAGGTGCTAGAAACTTTTGTACTAGTGTTTCAAAGTACTGTAATTTTTTAAAAACTCTTAGTAATAGAAACATTTTTATTAACATTTGCCTACTCTGCATTTCTTTATTTCATGCTAACTTGTGAAACTCTACATAGTTGCATTTCGCTGTTACTGTCTACATGGTTTCTTCACTCTGATGATTGAACTTTCACATATAATTTCCTTGTCTTTTTGGCAGTTTTTGGCCTGTCTTCTATTTTTTTTTCCTCACCATCTTATGGTATAAGGTTGTAAAACTATTGTAAAACTTCATGCTTAATTACTCTATAAAGACAGAGAGCTGTAGGAGACTCCTGTATGGTTATTAAAGCTATTTCATACAGGACAATCTTTTTGACTGTTTGCACTGAAACACCCCTCAAAGATTAAGTTCACTTAGGAGAATAATATTCAGCCTGGTAGGTTTTATTTTGTATGCATATATATTCCATCATAGCCAACATTAAATAACCTGTTTGAGCAGATGACCCTGCGTGAGCAGGAGAGTTGCACAAGATGACCTCCAGTGGCTCCTTCCAACGTCAACCATTCTGGTTTTCTGTGATAATAGAGTTTAATCAAGTATTATGCAGCACTATTAATATGATGATCAGTTTTATCATTATTGTAACTTCCCTTTTAGGCTGTGGAAATTGCTGCAAGCCACAGTGGAGACAGCAGTGATGAGCTGAAGAAAGGAAAGATGAAGGCTTTCCTGTCTTTGGCTCGTTTCTCAGATAATCAGTACCAGCGAATTGAGAATTACATGAAATCCTCAGAGTTTGAAAATAAGCAGGCATTACTGAAGAAGGCCAAGGAGGAGGTTGGCCTCCTAAGGGAGCGCAGAGTTCAGACAAATAGGTGAGCATGCCAGTAGAGAGGTGGTTGCTATGGAGCCTTCAAAGGCTCCATCTTCAGTAACTCTCTGTCCCGCTGGGCAAGTCGTACAGCATGGGTCACATGTCTACAGCTGAATTTTTCCTTCTCTTCACAAAATAGTGGCCAGATCTGTAGTTCTTGTTGCAAAGAAGCATGCTAGGCCAAGAGGTGTAACAACAGTTAAACAGTGTGGATGATCATGGCTCCGAGTTCACATTTTATTCCCTGGATCTGCTTAGTTTATTTGATAGAGAAAACGTTATAGAGTAAAAAAAAAATGTTTGGTATCTTTCTCCATCACATGTTTGTTGACAGTGTAGAATTCATCTTAATACAGAACTCTTGAAGATTTAGTAAGAGCAATTGAAAGTGAGCAGAAAAATTTGAACATCAGCTATTAGAAACTAAAGTCCTTATACAGTGATCTGTGCTGGATACTCAAATTTACACCAGTATTGAGATTAAATCATTAAAAAAAAGAAAAAAGACACTGACCGAAAATTTACTTAGAGTGATGGGTCTGTGTGGACTTAACACCAAAGAAATAGCTCCCACAATTTGTTTTCTCAGTTGTTTAATTTACTCTGCTTGTACATACAAAACAAGTAAAAAATGTTAAATTAGTAAGCAAGAGAAATAGGGACAGCCTTGCTTGTAAGTTCATTAAAAGATAATTTGTTGTTCAAAAATGTCTGTTAACATAGATACACAGTGAAGGTTCAGCGAGAACTTGAACTGGATGAATGTGCCATACATGCCCTAACTGAGGATCGTAAACGTTTCTTGTGTAAAGCAGTGGAGAACTACATCAGCTGTTTACTAAGTGGAGAAGAACATGATATGTGGATCTTCCGACTTTGTTCCTTGTGGCTTGAAAATTCTGGAGTGGATAGAGTCAATGAAATGATGAAGGTATATGTCTGCTCTTGCTTTTCCTTATTACCCTTTGACATTAAATTATCCATCTTTCTTCTCCTTCTCTGTTTCTAGAAGATGAATTATAGTGCTGTGCGGTATGCTTTTCTATGTATCTCCTTAACTTTTCCTTCAAAACTCACTTTTTTCACTCGTTGCTCATCAATTATTTTTTCATCAGTGAGAGCTGTAATTCTCAATACATTTTAAATAACTTCATTTACTTCAGCATTTTCATTTGGCAAGTCTGTACAATTAAGCATAACTCATGCTCTTTCACTGTTGTCACCTGGTTCTTTACATACCTTGGGTACTAGCCGTCATCAACATCCTTTAGTACATTATTCTAGTTTGTATTGTATATACTTTTAGGTGAAAGGATGTGCTTTTAGATTGTCTCTGTAACACAGTAGCCAGAGACCAGTAAAGTTCTCATTTTTAGGCTGCTTCTATCATTTCTAGGACCGTGGAGGAAACCTGTTAATTCTTACCTGAATGATCTGTTTATAGCAGAGATCAGTATAATTTAATTCTTCGCTTTGTGTTACAATAAACTTTGAAAAATAGAAAGTGTTCCTTTATTCATATTTTTAACACACAATTGTTTCTTGTCTTAAGGTAGGTTTTTTTTTTTTTTTAATTAGGATTGTCTCTTGCCACAGAGAATCTAGATATGAATTCTGAAGCAATATATCTAAGCTCTGCTCTAATAGAATAGAAAATAGTAGTTTTCTTGTGAAGGATTTGTAGCATTCAGGAGACATGGACCAAGATGATGTTTGAACTCACTGGATTGCTGTTTGATCACACAGGAATGATTACTCTCAGTTTCAAAAAAAAAAAAAAAAAGCAAAACCAAAATTGCTAGCCCTTACCTGCTATTTTATGATTATAATTTTTTTTGTTGTTCAGTACAGCTTTCTAACTGAATTTTCTCTACTACAGAAAAACGCAGAGAAGATCCCTTCATACAAGTTTTTACCTCTGATGTACCAGTTAGCTGCTCGGATGGGAACCAAGATGATGGGTGGTTTAGGATTTCATGAAGTTCTGAATAATGTAATTTATGCTTCTCATATCTGGAGATATCTTGATTGGCTTAGTAGTGCATACTTCTAAACAATATGTATCTTCCTTTGTGCAGTTATAGCTAAATGAGTGATGTAGGTGATAAAGGTGTATGAAAAATGAGTGATGCAAAATCAGTGTAGTGGGGGAAGAGGGGGAGAGGATTGGGGACTTTTTTCCTTGCTTGCTACTTGATTGATTTTGTATAAGAATAGTCTTATACAGATATAGCAATATACTTTAAATGTGTTTTAGTTGTGGAAATACCATCTAAGTATTTTTATTTCTTAGTAGGAAACTTAGAAGTTCAAAAGAATTAATAATGTTAATTAAGTAATTTATTTCTTCCGTACAGTTTTCAAAAATGGGATCTTTTTGTTTTTCTTGACAGCTAATGTCTAGAATTTCACTGGATCATCCACATCATACTTTGTTTATAATACTAGCTTTGGCAAATGCTAACAAAGATGAACTCCTCGCAAAACCAGATGCAATAAGAAGAAATAAGTTAATTAAAAATGCACCAAAAGAAATCTCCCAGCTTGATGTGGTGACTACAAAGAATTCTATTCTATTAATCACATTCAGTCCTTTAATTTTGTTAAATGAAAAAAAAAATTATGTCAAGGAGTATTTTAGTGTAGCGCTCATCAGCTGACTTCTGTTAAGAAAGGAGGAAAAAAGTACTTTTAATAATAAAAAACCCTCCTATTGTGCATACATTGGTAATTATTATTGAAAGAAGTAATTATGGGGTTAAACAAAACATGGTTAACATTTCCTGCAACAGGTAGCCCCAATTATTGTGAAGAGTCTTGTGATAAATGTCCATGATGTGTGATTCTGTAAAAGGCATTTTAGGTGCAACAAAGACTTGAGTAGGTTTATTGTTAAAAGTACATACTGAATCAAGTATTTTTTTCTGCTTTGAGTGATAACATCTGTTCTAAGTATTTAGCCTTGTGCAGTGTATCTTTTGTTCCTTTATATGGCCTTTATATGTTAAAAACCATGGTGATGGGCAATACTCAACTGTGGCTTTATTTTAATGTTGTTGCTTAATTGTTGTTGGAACCTGTCTTTGGAATCATCTCATATCTAGATTAATGTCCCTTTTTTCCCCCCATCACTGTAGGCCTGGTGTGGTCGGTTGTCATTACCCTCTTACCCAGCACACTGATACAATTTTTCACCATATTTTTATGTGGCTTTTTTTGACCTTTCTTTCAGATTTGTAGTTCTTTTGTGGTCCTACCCTTAGAAGTAGGATTATGCTAAACTCAACTAAGTCTCTCAGAGTTAGGCACAGAAAGGACACATGGTCAGGTTTTTGCCTTTTGCATACAGGCTTTTTCTTCAGTTGAGATGAAATAATGGAAGCAGGAAAGTGGTGGAAGAACATCCAAAACTGCCTGTCCTTTTTTCTGAAGAATCTTTGCACGTTTTTTGCGCTTTGCCTGGACAGATTTGTTCTCCCTCCATCCCCAATAATATTTTACTCTACTCACTATCTCAGATTAGACAACACAGAACTGTTCTTCAAATTATTTCTGTTCATATCACAAAGGGCTGTCCATTACTGCAATTTTCTCTGTTTTCATAGGACGTAGCTCAATTGTACTTACTTGACTGCACGTTGTGATGCATCTTTAATCTTACAAGGTGTAGTTTGCAAGATCTGATATTTGTATTCTGTTGGTTTGGGGTTTTTTTAGGACAGAATGGAGGCTGCTAGCAATATAATCAATATCGTAAGAAAAAGGAGAGCTCATATGGTTAGAGACATTGAAGCACTTTGTGATGCTTACATCACATTAGCAAATGTAGATGCTACTCCATGGAAAACTCAAAGAAGTAAGTCTTGGAAAAATTATTTTTGTTTTTAATAGTGAAAATATATTTTATTTTCTTGGACTAAATAGTATATTTCTGAATATTGATATTTAGTTAAAGGAGATACTGTGCTAGCACTCTGTCCTATTTTTGACAAATGTAGAACTTAATCTGGGTTAAAAGTCAGTAATTACTTGCAATCTAAGGTTCAGACTTTCTGAGTATGAAACTCCAGAAAACTCCAGTTGTCCTGTGGTCATCTTCATCAGCTCAACAGAAGCATGCAGTGAGGTTTTGGCTCCCAAAAGCAATGTAAGCTGGTTTTTGTGACCTTTGATGTATGTTTATAGTTCTGAATTTAGAAATATAAATTTGTTTTAATTACAGAAGGAATAAGTATTCCAGCTGACCAGCCAATTATTAAACTGAAGAACTTGGAGGATGTTGTTGTTCCTACCATGGAAATTAAGGTGACTGAAGTTGAAATAAATATACACTATAATGTCCAATCTTAGCATCGACTTCAAATTTTTATAAGGGCAGTCAGGGCATATATCTTCATCAAATTCCCATGTTCTTTACAGGTCAGCCTGCCAGGGGTGCTTTCCTGTCAGATGGGAGATGCAGCATGAGACACTTTCCTTAGGCTTTGGAAGACCTTGACCCCAAGTCTTACATTTGCTGGATAGTGGCTTATTGTATGAAGATGGCTTTGTCACTGCCACTGCTACCACTGACTAGTCTTTCATTATCAAAGGGGGTGATAAACTACCTAAATCACAGAGAGGATCTTATTTTGTAGGTGCTAGCTCAGAGTTTCAGGGAGGCACTTAATGTCCAGAAAGTTGTGAGAATTAGTAGATATGCCTCTGTGGCTGTTCCTAAATGGCCAGCTTATGTTTTTAGTATTCAGTAATGGTGAATGATCCATTCCTATTTGCATAAGTGGTTGATTGCATGGGTGCATGGGCACTCATTCTTAGATGCCGCACGTTCTACCAAGGAAGCTTAACACTTGTAGGAGTGTAGAGTTGTTTTTTGGGCCGGCCACTTAAAATTTACGTGTTATGAAGCCAAACTTCCGTATGTTGAAGTGCCTCAGGCTGCGTCTATAAAGCTAAATAAAGCAAGCCAAGGGACACCAGAAGTTGCCACCCATGCTAAATAGCAATTTTTTGTAGGGCTCCTGTTGGCCCCAGGTGTAGTTCCTTTGCATGACTCTGTTGTCCTTTTCTATGTCTGTCTTCTTCTCCAGTAGAACCTATCTGAAATAGTTGGAAGTCAGTGATGTAAACAGCTGTATTTCCTTACAGCTGAGCAGGGCTGCTTTGTGGCATGGGGATATGGAGGATGGCTGAAGATACAGATCCTGTAGATTGCAACAGTTTTAGGATTGTAGATTGGGTCCATTTGTAGCCTAACGTAAGCCTAATCCCCCCCAGCTGTACGTGAACATTGGCTTGAGAGGATGCTACTTGGAACAAGCTGAAATTGTGTCAGACCTTTTTTACTGGAAGTTTGCAGCACCAGGCCCCTCTACCAATGAGGTCAACAAGGAGGAATCAAACTCTCTCATTTGCCTAGCATATTTTTGTAGCCTTTGTGGGTATTATCCTAGTAGATGATGGAATGCTCATATTAATATTTAGCATATGCTGCTAACAAGGTTTGCAAACAACTCCTTACCACTTTCTCTGAGAGAAACGGAGGTAATATTTATATTAATTTTAAAGTAATTTATAATTTCAGGTGGATCCCACAGGACAATATGAAAATTTGGTGACAATAAGGTCTTTTAAGCCAGAATTTCGATTAGCAGGAGGCCTGAATCTGCCTAAAATAATAGATTGTGTAGGATCAGATGGTAAAGAAAGAAGGCAGCTGGTTAAGGTAGGTTCTGTCAGTTGTAGTGACATCTCGGAGACTTGGCATGTTGGAAATTTTTTAAGTTCTCATGTCTTTTCTTATGTTACAGTTACTTCTGTACCATGAGCAGACTTTTCACAGTTCAGTGTCAGTTTTCTCAGTTCAAGAGTGCTTTAATAAAGGAAATTACAAAGTAATAATAAGTAATATAATAATACAATAATATAAATAATAACATAATTAATAATTATGTTAAATATTTTGATAATTATTTTTCAACAATGCATATAATATACTGTAGCTTACCTGACAACTACCAGACCTGCCACTTGTGTGGTCATGTCTCAACTAGTGACCTGGAGTGTACAGCAAATAAAAGCCATCAGCATTTTGTGTTAAATACCTCCTTTTTTTCTTTCTTCCCCACATAAAAAGAATTACAATTCAGAGACAATCACAAACACGCACACAGAAACACAAATTTCTCAAAAAACTTTATTTCTCTTTAAACTCGGTTGATTTCATTCTGTCTGTCTTTGAATGTGAACATTCAGCAGCTGCTGGGAGAATTCTGTTTTGCTGTTAAGTATGGGGTAGTTTTGAAAGTTTTGCAGAGTTTTGAAGTTTTTGCAGAAAGTTTTGCATGAATCGCTAGATCTGCATCCAGTAATCAGAACTGCAGTACCAATGGATGCGGCTTCAGCTGTGTGCTGGATTGCTAAGTATAGTGAATGAAACATGCAATTTTTAAAAGGATACCATAAGGCATGTAGGTTGATTGAAACCTTAGTCAAATAATATTTGTCAAAAAAAAAAAAAAAAAAGAAAAAGGTGATGATTTAAGTTGATGATGGCTCTGCTTAAGCAGCTGAGCACTATTAGAAAACCAAGTACAGAGAGAAAATGATTGTTAATTCCATTTTATTACCTGTGATTATTGTGGAAAAGTAATTTGTGTTTTCTGGAATTTTTTGAAATATTTTTTTAAAGCTGCTGAACAAAGAAGTTGGATGCTGAAAGTGTTCTTTAACTGCCTTTTTCTGTTTATGCTAAAGGGGCGTGATGACCTGAGACAAGATGCGGTCATGCAACAGGTTTTCCAGATGTGCAATACATTGCTCCAGCAAAACACTGAAACACGAAAGAGAAAATTAACAATCCGAAGATACAAGGTAACCCTGAACAGCTGCTGCAGCAGTGGAATAGATGCTACTGATAAAGCGTATTTCCCATTCTCCTTTTTTTTAACCCAAGACAATATAAAAGTATATTTATTTATGCGTTATTAAAATAGTCACTGCTCCTTAAGGTAGAGAATAAGCAATTATTACAATTTAATTACTCCAATTAGAACAATTATTACGATACAGTTTTTTCCGAATCATTAAAAAAATTTCTGAGGCCAAATATGTTTAAATAATCTTCAAAGCTTTCTTTATATGAACATATAATTGAAAAGAAATTTTCATGCACTGTCCTTGAATTGGAAGTTGCTAGTCATTAAACTTGAGCCTACGAGTTTGTTTATGAATTCTCTTGTGATATTCCTTAATTATTTAATAATTAATTTTAGTCGTGCAGTATTCCTTGCATTTGAATCCAGAAGTCCCATCTAGGGTCTGTTCATGCAGAATTTGAATTGCAGAACTGGTTTTCTTGGAATTGAGAATATGGGCATAAATTCTTATTGCGAATGCAGAAAATGTATTTGAACTTTCCCCTCTTCCTACCTTTTTATGTGCTTGGGGTTACAATAATAGCTATGAAGGCGACCTCTGAATAAGTACTAAAAGTTCTTACGTTTGACAAATGAGAAATGTGCACTCCAGAATCTCTAAAGAGCTTATCTGAATTGCTAGTGTAGTTTTAAGAAATCACAGGTGGAGTTAGAGTCACATTTTTTGAAAAATTTTCAATGAAGACTCAGGTTGTTATGTGTGTAAAAATTAATGAAAGGAGGGCAAAAGAGGATGGGAGTTGCATTATGAGATAAAGAGACTTTCATAAGAAAAGAAAATTGAAGGAAACGGGCAGTAGCTATTTCTCTGAGGACAGAAGATTGTTCATTCTGGCCAGTTCTGTCTCCTACAGCAGTTGAGGTAATTATTACAGCCAGTTAGTGAGAAACTGTTCCCTAGGGTGGGAAGCAGAAGACGACAAGCCTAATCTGTTCACACAGCTTCCATGTGTTTGTTCCAGATTTTACTTTTTATGTGCAGTTTGCACAATGCTTGTATTATCCCGTTCAGGCATAGCAAGCTGTTGGCAATTGCAGGTCACCCAGAAAACCGATGCAAACGTGCAAATTGTGTATAATCATTAAGTTGTACTGAGTACCTTGTGGAAGGTTCTCTGGGCTAGGAAGAAATTTGCAAGTATTTGATAAAAAAAACCTTGAATGTGTTTTATATATGTATATTTATGTGTATTTAGAACATACATTGTGCTCAGTTGTATGGTTTGGTCTTTTTTCTTTTTAAACAGACACAAAATACGCACCCATGCTCCGCAGCATGCGTGTTAGTAGTTGTGTGTGTATAACCCTCCCCCATGCAGCCGTGGTTTTGCTTTACAGGTGGTTCCCCTTTCCCAGAGAAGCGGTGTGCTTGAGTGGTGCTCGGGAACAACTCCCATCGGGGAATTTCTTGTGAATGTCGAAGAGGGAGCTCACAAGAGATACAGGCCAAAAGACTACACTAGTTACCAGTGTCAGAAAATAATGATGGTGAGTCAGAATAATTAAAGAAAAATATCTGGCTTACATTCTTTTACACAGAGACTTGGGGTTTTTTACGTATTTACAGAGAATTATATACTGTGCTTTTAGTATATAATAACGAATATGACCAGTGGCATGGAAGTAATAGTTCGTCAGACTAATCTGAATGTAGCCTGGTAAGAGTCTTTGCAAAATCAAAAATTGCTACATGAATGACTGTTGCAAGAAAGATTTGAATACAGCTGAATCTCCAAGAAGTCTGTGAACTCTTCTAGAATATAAATGTATTGGAATTAAAATAATCATTACAGAGACCCAACAGAACCAGATATATATTATCTTACGGATTTAATTGATATTTGTCATATTTCTCATTGCATTGAAAAATCATTTTATTTTCATGAATAAACCAAATTCTAAATACTAGTCCTTGAAAGTAAAAATATGGGTTTGGAATGCAGCTGAGATTAATGTAATGTCTTAATTGCCATTAGACAGTGTGAAGGGTCTGGCTTCTCCACCATGACAGCCATGTACCCTCTGTCCTCCGACAGCGAGCCAGTTCAGGGAGCTAAGCCAAAAGAAAACTGACCTTATGTAAACTGGCAGAAAAATACCTGGTTCAGTAGATACAAGTAGGGGAAGGTTCTTTTTTCTGATGGTAGGTAGAGCTGCTAGATGGATTCAGCTGGTTTAGTTTAGTTCCACAAACCACCTCACCATACATTTTGAAAATTGCAAATTTTACTTTATATCACCATGATGGTGCAAGAAATTATTTTCTTTTTAAATCTGTATAGGACTAACAGGATGAAAATACATTTAAGCTTGGCTTTGTGCAGCTTTTGCATGTGAATGAGTGAGAATGACTTTCTCACAGTGACATGAGCCTTCAGATAAGCAAAGGTAGTAGAACAGAGTGCAAGGGGAAGTATCTCCCAGCAAGATGCATTTACCTGTACATGCATATAAAAAGATACACTTGCTGTGCCAAAGAAATGGGACTGTGTGTTTTACATGTAGCCCATGACTTGTGTATGAAAATATAATTGTTTAGTAAAACCGATAGATAGGTACATTAATGATTGCTGACATTAATTCATGGCTCAGAGAGAGAAAGGAGCGAGAACAGCATTTGATGGAGGGGAGGGGGCTAGAAAGCAGGTATGTATTTCGTTCAAGGGAAGAGGTAATTTCCTTTCAAAGCAGTCAGTCATGGGGAAAACATCTCTTATTTGTTGAAAGGATGCACAAAAGAAACACTCTGAAGAGAAATATAACATCTTCATGAAAGTCTGCGAGAACTTTCAGCCTGTGTTTCGTTATTTCTGCATGGAAAAGTTCCTGGATCCAGCTGTGTGGTTTGAAAAACGATTGGCGTACACTCGCAGTGTGGCTACATCTTCTATAGGTATTATATTAGATTATTAACATTGAGGTTTTAGATTATGTAAACAAAGAATTTATACGGTTTCAGAGGTAACGGCTATTCTGCTTTTGTCACATGTCAGAAAAGGGTGAGTAGGGGGCAAAAAATGACGACAAGAACACTAGCATTATTTTTGTAATTAAGATTTCTGGGTCATTCCTCCTGCACACTGCTTTCTGCAGTAGAAAGACAGAATGAAATTCTGTGTTTCTGTGTTTTATATAGGGGTTTGTATTTTTAGGTTCTGGTAGGTTTTTTTAAAGTTTCTACCTGAGTAATTCTGTTGGTTTGATTTAACATTTATTCATTTCTTCTGTAGCCTCAAATGTTTTAACTGAGTTGAAAAGCTTAATCTTTTACTTTCTTTGTACTAGCATCACTAGCCATGGCTGAAAACTTTGGGGTTTTTTTTAAGTTTTGGCATTTTTTTCCTTTGATTTTTCTGTCTTAATAAGGAAATAAATGTACTTGGATTATTGATTTCCTTTGGATGACTCAGTTCTGTATTGAGTCTCTGGAAGACATTTGATGGTAGATTGTATACATTGCGGTAGATTCTATTTTAAATGTTAGCATGTTGCTTATATACCCCCCTTTTTTGCTGAAAAAAAAATTTAAGTAAATCTACAGCTTAGCAGAATTCAGATGAAAGATTTTTGTAGGAATGATAGAATCTTTGGGTTGGAAGCGACCTTCAAAGGTCATCTAGTCCAGCCCCCCTGCAGTGAGCAGGTACATCTTCAACTAGAGCAAGTCTCCCCAGAGCCCCGTCCAACCTGACCTGGAATGTTGCCAGGGATGGGGCATCTACCACCTCTCTGGGCAACCTGTACCAGTGGTTCACCACCCTCACTGGGAAAAATTTCTTCCTTATATCTAGTCTGAATCTGCCCTCTTTCAGTTTAAAACCATTACCCCTCGTCCTGTCGCTACAGGCCCTGCTAAAAAGTCTGTCCCCATCTTTCTTAGCAGCCCCCTTTCAGTACTGGAAGGCTGCAATAAGGTCTCCCCAGAGCCTTCTCTTCTCCAGGCTGAACAACCCTCACTCTCTCAGTCTTTCTTTATATGAGAGGCGTTCCATTCCTCTGATCATTTTGGTGGCCCTCCTCTGGACCATTTGGGACAGAGGACTGCAGGTGGAGTCTCATCAGAGTGGAGTAGAGGGGCAGAATCACTTCCCTCGACCTGCTGGCCACACTGCTTTGGATGCAGCCCAGAAGACGGTTGGCCTTCTGGGCTGTGCATGCACATTGCCGGCTCATGTCCAATTTTTCATCCACAGGGCTGCTCTCAACCCCTTCATCCCCCAGCTTGTATTGATACTGAGGGTTGCCCCGACGCATGTGCAGGACCCTGCCCTTGGCCTTGTTGAACCTCATGAGGTTCACAAAGGCCCATTCCTCAAGCTTGTCCAGGTCTCCCTGGACGGCATCCCATCCCTCAGGCGTGTCAACCACACCACTCAGCTTGGTGTCATCTGCAAACTTGCTGAGGATGCACTCAGTCCCACTGCCTATGTCACTGATGACATAGGAAACGCTACTGCTATCCATGTCCATCAGCTAATAGAAAAACAGTAACAGGCAGCAAGGGAGATTTAACGTGGAGGGTTTCTACTTTTAAAGACAATAAAGCACTCAAATAGGCTTACCTGAAAGATCTTGTAATTTGTGTCACTAAAGGGTTTTAAAACTGACTTAGACAAGAATCACTCAGGAACTATTTACGTATAGTTAGTTGAGCTGCCCCAACTGAATTATGGACTGAATTATGTCCAGTCCTGTTTTCTGGATGATATGATACTGTGAGTTAAAAGGTTTTCTTAAAAATAGTAATAATAACAAACCCTAATTTTATTGTACATTTCCTTTTTTTTTTTTTTTTTTTTTTTTTTGGAAAGCTGTGAAATTGTTGGGTTAACCTATCTACAGAGAGAAACGGGCAAGAAGTCTGTGGAGTAGATAAAACAATACACATCTGTATGAGAAGAACCTTTTTGCAATTGCATTTAGTTAACCTTTTCTTTTTGGATTTGTGGAATGGCATTTGCTCTTTACTGGAGTAATGTGTATACATGGGGGAAGAAATAGTCTCGCTTTTGTTCGCATGTGTTACGCTGATTCTAATAACCTGCTGTTTGTTAAATTTTCCCTGGTTTTTATGGCTTGTAAATGTGGTTTCAGCACCTACCTTTTTCTTTTAGTTGGCTACATTCTTGGACTTGGAGACAGACATGTTCAGAATATCTTGATAGATGAACAAACGGCAGAACTGGTGCATATAGATCTGGGTAAGTGGGACGGGTAAGAGAACCTTAATTTTTCTTTCCTTTAACATTTTTAAAAACATTTATTATCCTTTCATTTAGGGGTTGCTTTTGAGCAAGGTAAAATCCTTCCCACACCAGAGACTGTTCCATTTAGATTAACCAGGGACATTGTGGACGGAATGGGTATTACTGGCGTGGAAGGAGTGTTCAGAAGGTAAGTGCCCCTATATTGCATAGGGGTAAGGAGGCAGCAGAGCACTTTCAGCATCATGATTGTTACATGTTAAATAGTTTTGATGCTTGAGAGGAGACTCAGATCTTTCTGCTGGTAATGCCCAAACCTAAATGCTGTCCTCTAACTCATGTGCTCTTATTTATATAATCAATTACAAGTTCATTATTGTTGCTCAGTTTTTCATATTCTTCACTAACTAATGGGCTATTGTCACCCTCTGGTGGAATTCAGGGATGGTTCAGTGCTTCCAAAGGCTCCCCAGCTAAATTGTACCCCTTGATTTAAACTGCTGGATTTTTTTCATTCAGAACTATGTATTTCTTTCATAGCTATACTATATATTTGGAGCTATTAAGTTTCTTTGAACCATTTTTTTTCTCTCTGTTATTTCTGCTCAATTTTATGTAAGTAATTTGCAGTCCTTTTCCTCTTTTGGATCATGTATTTGATAGCACTTTGCAAGTGCAAAATATAAATCCCACAGATCTGAGCTGTAAAGCAGAAGAATTCCAGAAGGGCTGAGTTTCTGTCAGCCTCCATCCTATCTCCTGTGAATGAGCCAAGAGAGCCCGACAAAGCAGGACGTTTCACTTAAGACTTTAATGACGTTCATGAAGATAGTAGTTGCAAACCCCATATGTCATGTCTTTAAAAAAGTACATAGTGTAAGTGCTGTCTTTGTAAGGTAGCAATTAATGTTTATAAGTCATTCCTAATATACCTTTGTCCTGCGAAGGAACAGTCACTGCCACTTCTAAACATGATGCTGTCAAATTCAAAGTTTCATGTTACTTCTGAAACTTTTGTCCCATGATACAGAAAAACATGAACTGTTTGGCTCCAGCTGAAGTAAATACGGTATAAAAGGTACTGGTGCAGATGCTGTTTCTGCCTCAGCCACACTGACTTGTAATGAACAGTATAAATGTAAGTGTATAAACAAGTCATCTCAGGATTGGGTGTGAACATCGTTAACTTTGTTGTGTGTGTTCTCATCCTGAAGTAGGCAGGAGGCCTAATCCCTCTTTCACTGGAGTACCTGTCCCATAAGGAGAGTTTCGTATTCCTTCCACAGCTTAGTTTGCTTGGGAGTGAATGTAGGTAACCACTTCTGTACCTAAACTCACTGGAGAGATTTCAGAAATAGCTTAATGTCTGGCTACTGGATCTGCTCATGTCGTATAAAGGAACGCTACCAAGATTCTCCAACGTGTTGCAGAGCACCTCTCGCGCACACGTTTCCATCCAGCCAAGCAATTCTGCCATCGTGGCATTCCTCAGCGATCAGTCTTAACTCAGTGGCTAATTCTGCATACAGAAACGTTTCAGACAGTGAACCAGGTAATCTCTTTCGCACAGGGAATATAATCAGTGAACTGTGCAGTCTCCTTCTGGTCTTTCTAAATGTCTCTGTTGTTGTTTGTTTGTTTGTTTTCCTAAAATGGAAATATACCAGAGAGGTTACTCATATGTTAAAAATTAGCCTTTAAGAAGGGTACCAATATCCATTATTTAAATTATGAAAATACCATTGCATTTTACCAAAAAGAATCTAAAAATACAGTAAAATATTTTCTAGATGCTGTGAGAAAACAATGGCTGTTATGAGAAATTCTCAAGAAGCTTTGCTGACTATTGTAGAGGTAAGCATTTTTTCATTCTTTCTGGTAGTAACCTGCCAGAACTTCTTCAGTTTCTTGTCCTTGTTTTCATATGCATTACTATAACAAATATTCATGTAGGGGGTTTTTTTGTTGAATTTGAATGTAGTAGTGTTGGCCAGATTTGCTAATTCATGTAATCTTCAATAAAATTATGACCAGTTTGCATTTTCTATGGGAACTATTTGTTTCAGGCATATGCAGTTTTTTCTCTTCAGTATCTAAACACTTTTAGCCATAGTGCAACATTCCTAGCATGAGTAGTGCCGATTGAATGAAATCCTCTTTGTATAAGTGACAAAGAAGAGAATTAAAGTAATTTTTTAAAGCACTTTAAAGTGTGTTTTGAAAAATGTGCTTTAAAAAATAATGATGATATTTAGTGCCTAGAAGAATATTAATAAAATGACCTCTTCATTGCTGAGATGGAACAATGCAAATACCTGCCAGTGATCAGATGCCATTTTATTGCTGGATTGTCAACTAAGCAATTCAGCACAATTCTGTTGGATTTAAAAAAAAAAACAAAATCCAAACCGCCTAATATTGTGGTAGGTGTGAGCATTACCAACTGTTTCTCTTCCTGCTAGGGCACTGAACTAGCTGTAATTAACAGTTTAAATTAAATAGGTATTTATTGACTGCGCAGGTGCTGCTCTATGACCCTCTTTTTGACTGGACCATGAACCCCTTGAAAGCTTTGTATTTGCAGCAGCGGCCGGAGGATGAGGCTGACATGAGCTCTACACTCAATACTGATCCACAAGAATGTAAAAGAAAAGCCAGGTGCAAGATTTTTTTCTCAGCCTTTGCCTACTGCTCTGTTGCCTTGCTTTATGGTTTTCTTACTGAATGTTCCTCGTGCTGTTCAGGAGCCATATCTAGTGTAGCTGTTGTTCTGTTTTTCATCCTGCCAGCAGTGACGACCAGAGTTTTAACAAAGTGGCTGAGCGTGTCCTGATGAGGCTTCAGGAGAAGCTGAAAGGCGTTGAGGAGGGAACAGTGCTCAGTGTGGGAGGGCAGGTGAACCTCCTCATACAGCAGGCCATGGACCCTAAAAATCTGAGCCGACTCTTTCCTGGGTGGAGACCGTGGGTGTGACTTGGAAGGATCCAGCACGTTTTGAGAAGAAACCTATTTCTATGCAGCAAGTGTCTTAACATTTCACATCGGTATTTCACAATTAAAACTTAGATCAGGAGCAACTGTGAAGGCTTATATGTATTAGTATTTGGTGGTTGTCTTGGGGTTTTTTTTTTTCAATAACCTGTTACCAAGAAAACATTTCTTTGTCCACTTATGTTCACCATACAGTATAAAACACCAACCAGTGCTCCGATGTTCCTTGTCACCTGCAAGGACTTCGCTTGGGCATACTGGATGTGTTGTATTCTTAAAGCCTGAGATTCATCATTTTTGTGTATATGTTAAATAGCTGGGGTCTTGTATATAATAATTCTGTATGGTAACATGACTGCATAGAATGGATGATCTAAAAACCAGGAGTCATGAAATAACTAGCTAAAGTGTATTTCAAAAGGGGCGTTATACTGTAAAGATAATGCTACAGTGAATGTAAAAGAAAACCAGAGAACCTCATGTTTAATGAACTGAAGGTTCTTGGGGTTGTTTTTTGGGGTTGTTTTTTTTTTTTAGCTTAGTTAAATGGACACTTCTTTATATAGATATGGACTTTGAGCCAAGTATAATACAGCTGCTTTTTTTCCTGTTGTAAATGAAATTATGTTGGTACTTTATTTTTATAACATTACTTTAATAGTATAAAACAATAAAAAATATTTAGCTTTTGTAGCTCAGACTTCCTTGATGAAATAGACTGATTAGGCAATGAAGCTTAGCATACCGGATACGCGTCTAAAGCAAACAGTCATTCTGTATCTGGAATAAACTCACTATACTCAAATACCAGTCTCACTGGTATGTTTAATAAATCTTCCCAAATCATCTTTGTATTTAAAAATATGAATAAAATTTGGCATACTCTCACATTATCTTAGTTTACACTTTATGCATTTTTACAGCATACAACTGAAGAATTTCTGTTCTAATGAGCATTTCACTGATTTTTGTTTGTACAGTGTTCCTACAATTTTTATACTATATCTTTGTTTTATAAGTTAGTGTCAATGTAGCAAGATGAGTCTTTCATGTTATGTCTTCCTGAAGCTGACATAAATTTCTGTTGATCCTTGGAACCAAACGTGCATCCTGGCTTTTTTGTGGGGAAGAACTCTCACCCCAGGGATACAGTAATTTGTTCTCTGAAAATGAAACTTACCTGACAGAGCACCCACTCTGCATGGGGAATTTTAAATGACACTTAGGAAAGGGAGAAAAGTCCTACCAAGCAATTACAGAATGGCAGGTAGGAAAGGACTAAACAAAAAGCACTTAAAGAATTTTTATTTTTAAGCACAGACTTAAAAAATTCTGGTAATATTTCTGGAAAATTTTCTCATGCTTCTTATAGAGGAGTTTCTTCAGGTATTTTTTTGGCTATTTAATACTAGAAATCCAGCTATCATATAAATTAATATTGCATAAAAGCACTTGGCAGATCCTGTCCTTCCATCATGAGTTACTGATGCTCTACTTGAAAAGGAATATTGTCATCACACTGGGCTGCAATTTAGGTTTTTTTACTCACAGCAAACAGTGAAACATGAATATTAATACGATTGTGTCAGGAAAGTCTAATTTTAGAGGAAATAATTTAATTATTCCTCTGCAATGCTGTTAACTTGGTGTTTCATGCCTAGGTTTTGAATATCTATACATTTTCATCATTCAAGCTGAATGAAACACCAATAAAAATGCACATAAATATTGTAAATGTCACTGAAACCTGCTTACGCTATTTGTAAGCTCCTGTAGCAGTGAAACAGCAGTTAGCTGACAAAGATGTGAAAACAGTTTGAATTATTAACAAACCTTAGAGTCTCCAAAACATTGTCAAAATCAGTGTGACACAATCCTGTTACTGTGAGATCTGAGTTCAACTGACCTAACATTCTTGAGATAATTGTCATCCGTTCAATGCCTCATTTAGCTAAATAGTAACCATCAAAGACTGTGCTTTCTTTTTGTTCCAGTAATGCCTTAATTTTTAAAAAGAAAATTAGAAAGTGGTTTGCAAAAATCTATCATCTATAGCTACACACTTTCCTTGTATAAGAATAGAAAAATAAAACCTGGACGGAAATGCTTGATTCTGAACAAGGGTTTTGTCACAAATGCTACTATTGATGGTAAGGTGGATTGGTGCTTGAGAGCCTCAAGTACCTCTACTATATTAGTAAGCTAGAAATATGTGAGACAAGTCAAGTTGCCTCTTTAGCATTAATTATTTTCTTGGAATGCATTTTCGTACTTTTAAACATTTACATTTAGAAAAGATAATTTCTAAGAAAAATGAGCCTGTGATCTAGCATGAAGGGGGAGAGTTTTTAAACAGCAACATATTTATTTGAAATGAGCTTTTCCTGGTGAAACATCTGTTGGAGAATGCTGGAGTATAAACTGTAAAAAAGTTACATGTTAGCAGGTAAACTGATATGAATTATACACCTTGACTGAACTTTTCCATCAGCAAGGAACTCTGTCCCATGAATAGGAATCAGATTAAACTGGCCACCTGGTGAGGTACATCCAATTGAAATAAAACAAGGATGTCAGTCTTCATCAGTGCAGATTTGAAAACTTCTATTGCTCTTACAGGTAAAACCACCCAAAAATAATTTTCTCAGTAACTATGAATTAATTAGGTCACTATTCTATGTTACTATGAAACTCCTGAGTTTATAAAACTACTATTAAATATTTTTGAATGCACTAAACTATTAGGCTTCATATTTCCAGGGGATAATGCACTCATTATACATTGTTACTAATTGTACTCCTCATGACTATTGTTATTGCATACCTGCACAAAGTTGTGATACTTCAATGACAAAGCGTCAATAAAGACACCTTTGTAAACAGGCAATTCCAAAATCTGCCTGGGGAATTTGGTTGTGTGACTGGTAAGTGATGACACTGTATATTTCTATTACTGCTTTCACCCCTGTGAATTTAAAGCTGAAGTAAGGCAGTAGTGTTGTCTTGTGGAACCTGCGACAGCTCTTGGGAAGAGATGACCTAATGCTAGCACTTAATGACGACACTTAAATATTAGCATTAAGTAGAATTGTTCATTTCAGCAGGTAGTTTGAAGAGTGAAACCACAGTGAGAAGGCTGGGAATTGGGCAAGGGAGGGCTTAGGTTCTCTTCCCCCCACATTTCAAAGTCTTACCTGTATTCCTGATGATACAAGAAGACTAATGGGTTGCTCACATAACGCATGTTCCCATCATCTGTCCTGCACATTAACCCTCTAAGTACACCTACACTGTCAGAGCTGTGTAGTGAATAATGTCAGTAATGTCTCTAAGCGCACACAGAGCTCCGGCTCTGCCCAATCCCTCATTCTTTCCTCACTACTGTATTTATGTCCACAAAAAATTTGGTGCAAAGTGACCACTCCCTTGCCTGCTCTGGGGAGTTCCCGCTGCAGCAGGCCCTCTCCTCTCTCCACACCTGTTTTGCCAAACAACATACAACAGATGTGAGCTTACTCGGTGTCCTGGTTTCAGCCAGAGTAGAGTTAATTTTCTTCACAGAAGCTAGTGTGAAGCTGTGTTGTGGATCTGGGATGAGAAAATGTTGATAACCTGCTGATGTTTTGAGTTGTTGCTGAGCAGTCAAGGACAGTCCAGCTTCTTGTGCTGCCCTGCCAGCAAGAAGGCTGGGGATGCACAGGAAGCTGGGAGGGGACCCAGCCAGGACAGCTGACCCAGGCTGGCCAAAGAGATATTCCATACTATATGATGTCATGCTCAGTATATAAAGCTGGGATGGAGGAAGGGGTGGAGGGATGTTTGTAGTGATGGCATCTGTCTTCCCAAGAAATCATTACGCATGATGGAGCCCTGCTTCCCTGGAGATGGCCGAACCCCTGCCTGCCCATGGGAGTGGTGAATTAATTCCTTGTCTTGCTTTGTTTGTGTGCGCGGCTTTTGCTTTACCTATTAAATTGTCTATCTCAACCCATGAGTTTCCTCACTTTTACTCTTTCAATTCTCTCCCCCATCCCACCGTGGGGGAGTGAGTGAGCAGCTGCGTGGTGCTTAGTTGCTGGCTGGCGCTAAACCATGACACTCGGTTGCCTCAGTTGCTGTATACCGCCTATGGATGCAAAGCGAAAGGATTATGAGAAAATGCAGCTACCTATAGAAGATCCCCTTTTTGAAGGAACTTCTTTTCTTGGATTGAGTTGCGAAGCAGTCCTTCACTCTCTTAAAAATTCCTCGGCCACGTTGCACCGAGTCTTGCCTGCAGCTTCTAGGATGAAGCAGTGTTACATCACGGATGCTCAGTGGTGACCAACTGCTTCTAGAAGATCGTCTGTTCACTAGCAGCATTTGACCAAGCACTATTTTTCCTCACAGACACGGGTTTTTTCTGTGTTTAAAGTGGAACTGAAATGGTGCTGGGTGTACTCCTCATATGCTCACACATCAAGAATGGGAGAACGGGAGAAGGAAGGGGTCGGGGGAGAGAAGGAGAGGAGACTGCCTGCTTTCCTACCTACTGCAAAATAAAGTTTTCAAGTCTCCAACCAGAGGGCATATGCTGTTTGACTGTGCCTCTGGGTTATAACTAGCATCCTTAATGCTAGTTATTGCTAAGTCACCCTGCTGTCCCAGAGTACTGTTCTGCAAGTGCAGGAAAATCTGGCCACGGAGAACACATACGTGACTTGCAGGAATTTTTTAGTATCTTGATCTATTCACTCAAAGCCGCTGTTTTGCACCCACACATGCCATGCTTGCTTTCACTAAAGCAGAGAAAATTGAGCTTATAGATTGGCAATTTTGTTTTTGGAAATTAAAAAAGTGGCATAGTAGGAATGAGGCCATTTCCTAACATATTCTCTGCTGCATCACAGCTAGAACTTGTTTTATAGGAAGCTGGACAGCTACCACACATACAAAGTTCTTCAGCCTGTGATGCCTTAATCAGCATTATGGAACAGATTTTT